TATCCAGAGGGGAATTCATTCCCTTGCTTTTTTCCAGTGTCTAAAGACTTTCTGCATTACTCAACTCATGGCTCTTTGCATCGTCAAAGCCAGAAATTGCATCCTATTCATCTGCTTCCGTCAGCACAGCTCCATCTCTGACTTTGATGTTTACTCTCCTGCTTCCCTCATTCACTAAACAGAACTCTTACATTGAGCCCGCCCAGATAATCTAGAATCATTGTCCAATCTCAAAGTCAGCTGATAAGCAATCTCAGTTCCCTCTCACCATGTAACACAGCAAGGGAAATAGAACATGACATAGTTAGGGGGCAATTATTCTTCCTACTACCAAGGATTCATGAATAAACTGTGTGAAAGTTCTCAGAATCAAAATGGAGCCAGTTGTGTCAGGCCCAATTTAATTAATGAATCAAAATTGGAAGTTTTATGAGGTAAGGGATCTCATGTATATATGCCTGGTAACAAGAACTTTCACAAAAGACTCTGCCAGAATCAAAATCTTGCACAAAGACCATAGCAACCTTCTACAGAAAACACTTCTGCAAGGATTGTCTGTCAAACAATGGCCTGTGCAGCCCTGGACTGATACTAGCCTTGTAGTCAAGGATTATCATTTCAATACAAATTATGTCATCCTCCGCATTTTGCCTTTAGAAACTTCCCCTTGCACCAACCCCCTTGAATAAGCACACCATTTATTATGCACATACCTTCTCATTGCAAAGTTTATTCCCAAATAAACTTATTAAACTTTGAAAAAAATCTGTTTTTATCTAAGTTGACACCTAGGAACTGAGAATTCTAAACCAAGACATGAAACCCAAAAGCCATTTATTAACTATAAAATCATTTAAAATTTAAACTTATGAAAACATAAAATACAAAAGATACAATAAACAATATAGAAAGGCAAGGTAGACTGTGAAGAAACACTATATATATGTACGTATATATATATCAAATAAATGGGTAAAATCAATAATATGCAATATATCTTCCAGATTAAAAGTGAATTTTTTAAATAGACAATGCATATGAGTATTAATATTCATTTAGTTCACAAGTTCACAGAAGAACTAAACCAAATAGTAAACATACTTGAAAAGAACTTTCCTAGTAGTTGGGAAATGCAAGTTGAAATTATGATAAAATGAAGAGACATTACCTACTGAGACCTATCAGACCGATGATATACAATGAAAAAGTGAAGCCCCATAGCCCAGTGAGGAGATGGAGGGAAGTTTTCCTCTTGCAACGAAGGCACAAATACAAAGTATTACAGCTTTAAAGAAAAGCAATCTACACATGACAATTAACATTTAAAATATAGATAAACATGGACTCTGGCATCTCACTCCTAGGAATCTAATCCATAGCCATTATAAATGAGGATATATGTTCCAAATCATTTCTTCAACATTTTACCACTAATAGACAAAAGATTGGCCAACAAACCTGGGAGTCCTCATCAGTAAGGAAATGGCCAAATAACTTACTTATTTACACAGTGGAATAATATGGAACAGAAGCAGAAGTCAACAAAAATGAATTTTCAATTTCAAAATAATATTAAATTTCAATTGTATCGCCACAAAAAAGATGAGGTGATGGATATGTAAATGACTTGATTTAATCACTCCACTTCATATACATATATCAAACATCACATTGTATTTCATAAATATAATTACAACTATGACTTGCCAATTAAAAATAATATTTAAAAATAAATAAAAGAATATATTACCATTCTCACAGCACTCAGGAAAGATTGCATGCTGTTGCATAAGAAAAAGAAGATATAGAAAAAATATAAAACACCTTTTTAAAAAACATGAACAATAATGTGTAGATACATATAAATGCTGAGTGGGACAAGAAGAAACATAGCAGGAAAAGAGAGCAAATAAGTGTCCCACCAAAATATGGGGAGATCATTAATAGAGAAGGAAAGAAAGAGGAAGAAAGGGAAAGAAAGAAGGAATAAATGAAGGATCCGACCTAAATACTCAAACTCTGTGCATGTCAAAATATAGTACATGTGTATATACGGCAACGTGAATGTCTGTCTCTGTGTGTAGAGGTGACCAAAATATTTATGGGGCCACTTTTAAGAGCTTGGATTTTATA